AGTTATCTTCCCCTCCAGATGGGTTCTTGTCCCCTCTGGTCAGCAAATCAGTTAGACTCCGGTGTGGTTGTGCGGTGCCTTTTTGACACTGAGCTGCCGCCTTCCCTTCGTGCTCCTCGCAGCTCCCAGAGTGGCACCGGTACCACTCATCAGATTTAGCTGCAAAAAACCTTTCTGCCCTATCAGGTTCCTCTGACGATCTGTGGGAGCTTTCAGTGGCTCCCATTGGTTTTAATCCCTCCCTGGAGAGCAACATTCAATCCCGCTATTGCTGATGCCCTGGGCTCAGGTTGTTTGGTTTGTTGTTTAAGGATTTTTGTTCCTGAAAATGCCCCTCCCAGCTATTTTCAGATTTTGCTGTGCTCCAGCCCCAAAGTATCTCTTGAATGCTGGAGGTGCTTAGCATCTGGTGTTGTGCTCAATAGGTGGAAGGGTTCTTTGTTTAAACTCTTTCGTCTCTTTAACTGCTATGAAACGGTGTGACGGGGGATATATTTGCTGCATGGGACCAGAGCACCAAGTGCCTTCTATTATAACTGCTCCGGAGGATTTCCTGGGAAGTGTTCAGCCTTCATGTCTGTCTGTAAGGAAATCCTCTTATCTGGGCAGAGCAATAAATAGCGCTGCCTCCTGTAACAGAAACAGAAAAACACATTCTTCACACGGCTGTTTTTTTAAAAATGTGGGGTTTAAAATATATCATCTGGAATGATTCTTCTGTAATAAATCCCCGTAATAGCGTCCTAAGTATACATTTAACTAGCCACACAGAGGTAGGGAGAGGGGGAGACGGTGTGTTAAGAGAGGGTTTAGTGTGCATTTAGTAATGACAAGAACAGTAAATAATCCTGCAGGTTTACAAACCTAATCCCCAGTGTCTGATTGTAGCCCTCACGTCTACTAGAGTCGGTTGGCAAAGATGTTAAAGGGCTGTAAAGAAAGGGCTGGGGGGTGGGAGGTGTGTTTTTAAATACTGGGGGAGCTGGCTGGGTGACTGATGGTTTTAAGTGACACGGGTGTAGTTGATTGGGGACCTTGATGGAAAGCTCTAGAAGTGCCCATCCTGCTCTGCTTGCCATGGAGACCTTAGGTGAGGATGGAGTAGGGTGCTCCTCACTGCCTCACTCTACGCTCTTAATTTAAAAACTGGATTAGGGGGAGTTTTGTTGGTTTTAATACCCAATTTATTTCTTGCCTGTGCCCTGCAGTAAAGTGTTTGTTTTTGTTAACGGAAGAAATCCGCGGTGTCTAAGAGCCGTGCCACGTGATGCCATTGCTTTTAAATAAGCTTTTAAGAGGTTGGACCAGATGTTGCCCACATCTGTGTTTTTATTTCGTCAAACATTTAGTTTCGACCCTTTTTATTAAAAGAGAAAACGATCATTTAGAAATTGTTTTGAAAATTTTAGCAGCTGGGAAGATCTTTCTGGTATATAAAAAAGCAAGGGGTTTACTTTATGTGCCCTGGAGTGAGCCGTGTAATATCAGGCAGACGGATATTCATGGCTGGTAGGGTCGACTCACATTGGAAACGATTGCTGTGGAAATATTCAGATCAAAACAGATTTATTCTGTTTTGAATTGGCATTCTGTAACAAAACACTTTTTTTTTTTTCTCAGTGAAAGCATTAAAACTAGGGATTTGAAGGCACCTTCTCTTCTCAGAAGCCCCTCACATTTAATGAAGGAGTATCACCTTGGCAGGAAAAAGGACAATTTGCAGGCAGAGGGATATCCTGAAATTACTCCCTCTACTGCCGTTATGGGGTCTAAGAAATGCTTTTTACGTATAACTTGCTTCTGGATTCTTCTCTGCAATTTGCCAGTTGGAGAATGAATTTTCCATCCCCGTTGCTAATTGATCCAATGAGGAAGACTGGCACCTAATTCAGTAACAAGTTATATTTAAAATGACACGTGAAATTGTTCATGGTGCCTGAAATTACATCATTTTCAGTCTGGCATATTAGGGCTGTGTAAGGGAATAGGCACCTACTGTACTGTGACATATTAAATTTCAAACCTCTGATCCAAAAATATAGCAGGATGTAGGAGGAGCAAGGTGTTTAATGGTGAATAAAAGCAGTGGCAGCTTGATTTCAGTGAGATATTTTAATTGGTCCTAAGATGCTGTGGCAGCTTTTGCAAAAAATAATTTTGGGATGTGCAGAATTTTATGTAAAGTTGAGCAGCGACTTGAGTCTGGAGTAGTTCTCTCACCACTTTCAAGTTTTGATTTTCTAGCCTGTGATTTTCAGAATTCACTACTGATTTTTGAGGTTGGCTCGCTTTTTCCTTGTCCCTAATTACAAGGTGATATTTCAGTTTGCCTGGTGGAATGAATATGAAAAAAAAAAAAAGAATCCTCTCTTTACTCAGATATACAAAATTGAAAGTTGGTTTTATTCCCCAAAAAACCTTAAAGAAAATAAAGGTAAATAACACAAAGAATGGGGAGACCATGCCCCTTCCGTCTTACAGCTTACCGGTTAAAGCACTTACCCAGAACATGGGAGACCCAGTTCGAGTCCCATTTCTGCATGAACTCCTTCCAACCCAGGAGACGGGTTGTTCTGGCTTGGGCGTGCTCTTGCGCTCTGCTGTCAAGCTCTTTTATTTTGTGTAATGAAGCATGTCTTGGACCCAAGTGGACTATGTCCTGGGAAGGCATCTCAGACACTACACTACTGTATTTACTCTTTTCCTCGGTGAACATTTAATCATTTTGCTCACTGGAAATTTATATCTCAGTTCCAGCAGGAAGGACTTGTAGTGCTGTTTTATAGCGTACCCTGGACTCCTGTGGGTGATGCAGCCGTCCAGTGATACCTCTCTGCGCTTTGCCTGATTACTGTTTGCTTAAAAATAAATTTCAGTGAGTTATATTAAAGAGGCAGCAAATCACCGCTATGTATTTTAGGGTGTGCTTTGCCGTGTCCATGGGTCTCATCCCTGCTTGCCTGGTGGTGGGGTCCCTGCACGAGGAGCTGATGGCCCTGGTGCAGAAAGTTCTGCTCTGACTGCACTGTGGAGAAGAGATGAAGCCAGAAAAAAAGCATGTGTGCTCAACAATTATATAGCTATTATAAAACCTTTTACACTTTTAAAGTATTTTTGGGGAAAAAAGTTGTAAAGGAAATCTGGTGCCTGGGACTCAAGTACAGTTAATTTCTAAATGCAGTGGCAGTGAAAAACATTCCTTAAGGTCTTTTCAGTCATATTAGCATCAGATTGTCTGAATTGGTAAAGTTGGTATCACGTTTATGAGACAACCTCAGAAGAGAATTAGAGTGCAGTCTTACGTGGTTCCTTGTGACAGGACATTTTCTTCGGGGTGAAACCTGTTTTGTGTAGGAGTTGGTGTGGAAGGGGTCTAAAACTTTCTGTTGGTTGTTTAAGATGGATTTTAAAAAGACATTTGTAGGTGTGCAGTGTCTCAGTGTCTCATACCGGTAAATGTTGAGTTGAGCAGCCAGATCCTTCTCACCACCTCAAGAAGTGGAGCCTCTATTCCTAACCAGATGTTTTGGTTGGATTCCCGACCCTGTGGTTTCACATACTTTAGGCAACTGGTTGAAACGCCTGAGTTTTGCCCAGCAGAGCATCATTTGTATCTTCTGGGAATGCTCATAATTCCTGCCTTTGCGGGTCTTTACCCACTCAAGCCTCGAGGCTCTGCATTGCCGTAACCAGCTGTTGGATGGACAATCTGCAGCTGCCTTCCCCCTCCACCGGTCCAGCGCTGCGCCGCTCCGGAGCTCTGCTCGGCGAGAAAGCACCAGAGGGGGGAATCAAACCATTTACAGGTCTTGGTTTGTGGGGAGGCACATCGCCAGGACTGGGGAGCAGGAACCGTGACAATGGCAAGCTGTTCCGCACTATTTCAGTTTTAATTTGTTATTGCAAAATGTTGAAACTGAATTTGTTTTTTGTTTTTGTTTTTCTGCACATAAACTGGTTAGGTCATCTCTTGTCTAGTCGTGATTAGATGTAATGGAGGTGACCAAGAAGATTGCTGCGTTCCCCAGCATAAGTCTTTGCTGAATAATTTATTTTCTTCTCTACCTGGACTACATTAATAGTGTATTACTACTGTACACTAATGTGATGTGGAAAATCAGGTTTTGCTGCTGTACATTTTGCCAGTCCCAAATTAAGCCTCAGTTCTGTGCTATTATGCTTCTTAAAGGAGAGAATATTAAAAATGTCTTTTCAGAAGAAGTCTTAAGAAATACAAAACAAGAAAAATTACGGTGAAAGTCGTCATTGTTTAACATTTATCTAGACCCTTCCATAGCTTTCAAAAGTTATTTTAAAATTTGGAAATGTTTTAATTCCCATTTTACAAATAGAAAAACTAATGCACTTTTTTTTTTTTTACAGAGCTGGTATCAGGTGAGTGGTTCAAATGAGGATAGTTCAGATCCAAGATTTCTTCTTGGAAAGAAAATTATATGACTGTTGGCATGATGTGTTATTCACTGCTCCACGCTGCTTCCCTGAAAACAGAAAATATTTTCTAAGTCATAATTTCTGGATGAATCATTGACCTATAGGCTCTGACAGAGAAATTCGTGTTATGATGAAAGAAAAATGATAATCTTTTTAAAATGGTTTCCACAGCTTCCGGCTGAACATTTCTGGCTGTAAATTAAAATGGGGGAAAAAAGGCAACTGGAAGTGTCCAGCAGATTTTCAGTACTGAAGAAGACTGTGCTGATTCCTGAATTGTAAATGAATTCAGTGCAGTGAATTCGTGCGTGCGTGTACCCCCATATCGAAAATACCCAGCCGCACGTTAAACCTCCTGGATAAACACAGAAGGATGCAAATCTCTGAAGGACGATCATTAAGTGTACTGTCGAACTTGAATTGCGATTGATTTTGAACAAACATCTGCCTAATTAAAATGTGTTCTTTTCTGCAGGTGAGAATACAGGGGATGGTGAATTAGACCTGAGTGGGATCGATGACAGTGAAATAGATCGGGTAAGGTGCCCAGTTATCCCGGCTCTCGCTGCACTTAGATGTCTGAGAATGAAAAATGGTTCTTATCTGGTTTATCCCCTCCCCCCACTGCCTCTTTGCTCTGATCTATAGAGCGGAAAAAGTTCAAGTGATTTCCGTGATCCGAGATCAAAACTAAGGCTCATGTGAGCCTGTGAATTTGGTGTTCCTTGCCCATTTTGTTTATCTACGGGACTGCTGCTGCTGCTGCTTACTCTTACCATGCTGGAATAATCATGTTTTAGAATGTCTTGTATTCTCAAGAAGGACTTTTAAAAGTTTGGTGGAGCTCTAAATTCATTATTTAATTAAGATATATTCAACATAGGAGGCTGCCATGGAAACCAAACCATGAAACCAGCATGTACAGCTTCTGTGTTTTTTCAAAGATTTCTGTAGCATTTTCTGGATTTATTGTTATTTGTGTGGCAGTGAAAGATACCCTTTCCCATACAGCCTATATGTGAAAGACAGGCAGCGATGGAAGGTGGCTTATTGAAGGCCACAGGACAGGTCAGTGCTTTGAACACAGCAGAGTGCATCTCTCCCGATTCTGAGCCTGCTGCCCTCTCCAGCCACCCTGCTGGGTTCAACTGTGATACGAACAGATAACACCGATGCTAACAACTCCTTTTGGGGTACATTGAGAGCGATGAGGTTCTGTAGGGATTACTGATCTGCAGAAGGGTGTTGGCGATGGGTGAAGAAGCAGGAAGGGGCTCAGCTTGGCTGAGCGGGTTTTGTTGGGCAGGGCGTTAGGAGGGATCTTGTGGATCGAGCGGACGTGCTGTGAGGGGAGCGGGGAGGCTGAAGGTTTTCAATATAGCAGGTCCATCATTTAAACAGTCGCGGGGGAAGAACAAGCACATTTTCTCATCATCCTAGGCTCTGTGATGAGGTCATAACTCTGCTTTTATGATCTCATGTTCATTTCCGTGGCAATAGACTGTAATATTGTAAGGCTAAGATTATGAACTCCCTAAAAGCATAAGAAGGATGAATAACTGAGCTAGGAGGAAGCGAGTTTTACTATTACGGCTCACTTTTAATAGAAGCAGATGAAAGAGTGAAAATATTGGTCTGATAAACCAGGACTTGCACAGCTGTTTGCTCACCTCGTTTGCCCTCAGAAGAAGAATTCCTCCCTGCATTAGTTTCCTTTGACTGGAGTTATTTTTCACATGAAATCCTATATGCACATTTTACTTTGGAGAAAATCTCAAACACTCAAACCCGTAAGATGGAGAAATCTCAAATTGTTTTTCTTGCACTTAAATATCGTTTTACAAGTCTTGGGTCCACTGCTTAAAAACAAAACATCTTGTTCATGAAGGATGACCCAATTTGTCTTCTCTGTTCTGCAGAAGTTCTTCACTCCCAAACAGCTTTGGCAGTGGAGAACTTTTGTTTTGTGGACAGCTGTGCTAAATCCTAGGTTTATTTTTACATTTAAGTAATTGAAGAGGAACCAACCTGCCAGCCTGCCTGCCACCTACCTGTTTGTTTATTTCTGTAATTCATCTGAATAGTTCTAGATGTGTTTTACAACTCCACACCTACTAATGATGTTACTAAGTAGAGTTAACTGGAAAAAGCCTAGACATGGGTGCTGAACCCAGCTCTCTAAAATCTGGAGGACTAAAACTCCAGCAATCTAAGCTGGTTTCATTCACATAGATGTGGCCATTGAACTAATAATCTCAGTAACTGTGCTTAAACCTTCACAGAAACCTACCCAGAAGACACATGTTTCTGTTTTGGTAGCACAAGGCAAAAGTTCCCATCCTGTTTTGAATTACAGACCACCATCAGCACACAAAATTACTTGCAGACAACCATGTTTTCGTGGTACTCTCTTATATCATCTGAAAAAGATCATAAACCCAGGATCATTTTAGGTTAATTACCGACCACGTACAATGAGTCCTGGATGATTGTTGGCCACCCCCTCATAGTTTGGAAACCTAGCACTGGTTTTTGAAAACGTGTCATCATTTTTTGTCAGCTTTAGAAGTTACTAGAAATGCTCTCTGGTTGCCACATCTCAGTCATATTTTCTTTTCTTAATGTATTTTTGAAAACAGAATGTGAATTGAATTTGCCAGTGGTTTTTCAATTCAGTTTTGCTCTATGGTTTTCAAGTTGATTTCTGAAAGTAGACAAACTTGTTTTGTCTTTTAGTATATACTTAACGATACAGAAGCTCAGATAAAAGCAGAGCTGTGGATGAAAGAAAATGCAGATTATTTGAAGGAACAGAAAGGTAAGTATGTAGAACTGAAATTCTCCTTCTGCCTGGTGTTGCTGAAATATGCAGTCTGTGTGATCTTCATGGTGGTTACCCTTTTGTCATCTTTCAGAAAAGGAAGCAAGAATAGCGAAAGAGAAAGAACTTGGGATTTATAAGGAACACAAGGTATTAATCTGTGTGCTAATTGTGTCTGTTTGAAAATGTCCTGGAATTTCATTGCATTTACTGATCCACCTCATGTAGGATGTATGGGCATAATGGTGCAGGTCACCGATAAGCAAGCAAAAGCTATTGTATCTCTGCCTATAACTGAAATACAAGGCTATAATTTTTCAGATGGTGAGTAAAACACTTTCTTGCCCAAACTTTTATTTTAAATTACTATTATGAGAAAATTCTGTGCATGGCAAAGTCAGAGCTGGCTCTTTGCATTTATGATTGCTGTCCTAATTGCTTGCTTATTTAAGTACAGGTCTTAAGACATGCCTAATTTTTTTTTTTAATGTGTGCATGGGGAGTTTGTACTTGCCGTAACTTCAGTAGCTTTCTTTGCTCTTACAATAATGATTTCTTTATGAAGAACTGAACAGATCCTTGTTACAGTTACTTGAAGGAATATTTTGTTCTACCTTTCATAAAGAATGCGACAGTTATGTTAACAAATGGCATGTACTGTCTCCATGTGTAGCAGTTTAAAGCAGCTTAATTGGCCGTATATTCACGATTTACGGCATTAGTATTTTGTGTAATTGAGCAAGTGACAAGTCAAATCTTCCACATGCAACTAAAATCCATGTTAGTTTTTCATGTGTATATCCTCTATCTTTTTTTTTCCAACTAATGCGAAAGACAGAGTTTCCTACTTCCCCTAGGTATTTCAACAATAAAAACAAAACCAGACAACGAAACACTGTTTTATGCTTCAGAGTTTCTCATTCATCCTCCACTTACGGAGACGTGGCAGTCTACCAGAAGTTTTCAAAATCGTATAACTTGTTGGCACCGCCAAGTAGCTCAGACACCCACCTTTTTGTTTGGACAACGCAGGAGTTTTTCTCTGACTCCATATTGTTTCTGACAGCTGGAGTAGAACTTGATTAATATAGTGCTTTCCAGTTTCAAGGTAGCACTTGACCCATGTAGGTAAACAGAGGGGCTATTATCCATTAAAAAATAAATCTCCTGCAGAGCTTGGTGTTAAAACCTTCCTTTGAAAAAGAAAATGCTGAATGAGAAACAGAGGTCCTTTTTTTTTTTTTTCCCCCAGTACCTTACCCAGGCACGGGACCTGGCAAGCACTGTTCTGTGTCTCTGTGTCTGGCTCTGCGCAGCATCAGCCTCCGCAGCGCTGGGCTGGCAGCCTGTGCCTGGGAAGGGCACTTGCAGGTGACATTGTCACTGCGCTTGTGTGTGTCTGCAGCCTCCTGCTTCCTATCCATCCGCGTTAAAGCCAATCCACACTTGGAAAGCTGCTGCTAATGTTCTTGGTCTTTTTCAGTGTGGAGGAGGAGTGGGGTAGATGCTCTCCCGCGCTGCATTTGAACTTGATATAAAATACTGTTGCAGTTTCGATATGGACGTGTCAGAGCTGAGGGGAGTCGTGACCCAGCTTGACTCAACTTTAAAGGCAATTTTAGCAGGGGAATTTCTTTATTTCCATGCTGGGTGATGCTATAGCGGTTTCCCTGATAACAGGAGTTCACTCCATTTTTTCTCATGCATGAGGAATGACCCATGCTTCTTTCTGGCAGCATTACAAATACAAAGCAAAGAATTTGTAATAAACTGTGGGGGCATTGGGCAAAAAGCAAACACTTATCTCTCAGAGAAAAGAGACCTCTTGGTCCTGATGAGTGGCAGGAGAGGGAGTGCTGGCTTAGCCCCGCCGTGTCCCCGCGTCCCCCCGTCAGCAGCACCTGAGCCAGGGCTCCTGAACCACAGCTCACCCTTCTGCTTCGTGGAAACTTTGTTTGTATCTACGTCACTAATTTTATATTTTAATTAAGCCAAAGAAATCTGCAAAGAAGCGGGAGCCAATTCAAGCCAGCACAGCAGGAGAGGCAATTGAAAAGATGTTAGAACAGAAGAAAATCTCAAGTAAAATTAATTATAATGTGCTAAGGGACCTGAACAGCAAAGGAAGTAACACACCAAAGAAAGAGGATGACAGCACTGATGACAGCACCAACACCAAGAAGCTGTCAAGAAGAAAATCTATTGCCAGTAGGAATATAGCCAACCCTGTAAACAGTGTGGGAAAAAGGTACTGCAATTGTTCATTTATATCTCTGTCTGTGAGACTGTCTATGTATCTTTCTGAGCCAGACAATGTAGGGACTGTAACATTTGTTTGAGGCTAAAATAATGTCGGGGCTCTGTTTTTATTTATTTTGCCTGCAGTGTCACGGCAGCACCTTATTTATACTTCATGTATCAGAGGTCTGCTTTGGTGCAAGTTAATCATCCTGAAGCCAAAAAACAAAATCAATGGGAGTTCATAAACGTGAATCTTTCCGCCAGGGACACCTTTTCTTCATATACTCCTGACATTTGCTGTCCTTCCTTTCTAAGTTGTCTGCATCAGCTGACACGACACTAAATGTTCGAAAGCTTTGACTTTTTGGTTGATTTGAAAAATATAGTTCCCATCTGTTTTGACAGCTAGATGTTTTGATTAGCTTTTATTTTAGTTTTATTCCAAACTTTTCTTGTTAATTGATGACACAAATATAAAGCTTTACAGTAAAGTAAGTATGCTTGTCGGTTTTCTGGTCTGCATTTGCAAATGTTTTATAGTCTGATGAAAGCCACTATTTTAATGAGTAAAAGACTTGACTTGCCAGGCAGATTTGTAGTGTGCTGTAAAGTGTATATGGAGATTGATTTGTCTTATCTGCAATGTTCAACTATTTTGTTCATCTTCAGTTTATCAAATCATGTCGGATGGTCATCTGAATCATGTCTATGTCTAGTAATTTCTTACCTACATGTTATGTATTTATTTACTGCCTTAAATACATAGTTTTTTGCTTCCAGAAATATAAGCCTGGCACCACCAGGAAATTTAGGTATTTAATTCTTAAATGTAAGATGATATCTTTGCACTGTAGTTCAGATTTAGGCATGTGTTGTAACCGAGAGCCGGTAAAGGACAAGGGAGAGTGAGACGGCAGTGGTAAATCGTCTGTTGGTGCAGGAATGGGAGATGTAGGATACCTGAAAACATGAAGCTGGGAGGGTTAGTAAGTGCATGTCCCTCAGAAGCTGAGCAAAGTAAAGATGACTAGACCCAACCCCCTTATGTTGGCTTCATTGACAGTCAGGCAAGCGGTGCAGTCTTCAGTTTTGGCTGAAATGCCAAAGCCTAAGCCAAAGCTAAGCTAACTGGGATACAGGCTTTTGCAATGTACCAAACGTCTTTTCTTAATTTGCTATACCTTCTTTATTCTGTATTTTACCAAGATAGCTTCATCCTTCTTCAACTTCTCACCTTTCATATCAACAGCTTTCCTTTCCAGTTCTTGACTCACTGTGGATTTTAGTCTCCTCTGCAAGTTGCTACTTAAGGTGATGTCTAGTGCCCCAAGTGTAGGTTTTCCACTGGTGAAGGAAAGTGAAGATGCATTGAGGATTAACTAATAACATCTAGCCTATGCTTTATTTGGATTTAACAGGTGTTAATGAGTCATATTTCTGGTATTTCTAGTACAATATAGCTGATTCAGTTGTCTGAATGAAATGCTGTGATGGGAAGTGAGGGCTGCTCAGGATCCCGGTTGCATTTCAGAGCTCAGCAGGAGCATCCACGCTCGAGCTGCTTCGCCACAGCCAAACTTTGTCACTTCTGAGGTTTGCAGAAATGTTGGGCACTCGGAGCTCCTGTTGAAGTCAGCATGTTAAACTCTTAACAGGTGTTAAACTCTTTGGAAAATCATGCCATAAATATTTAATTTGATAGTGGTGCAACTTGAAAAGGTTTCTAAATAAATACAAATCAGTATTTTCCAAAAGCAGCTAATAAAACATGTTTATTTTTCCTCTTGAGAGCCTAAAGTACGTCCTTAAGATGCATAACAGAGTTTCCTGATGATGATTAGCAGATCTCAGATACAATGAATTTTGCAGCAGAACACTTCAGAGGAGGTTGGGGATACATGCAGATGAAGGAGTTGAGGAGATTTTGCACTCAGAAGCAGACAGTGGTCTTGCTTAAATAATATCAAGGACTTGGCAAACTGTTAGTTGGACTTTTTTTTCTTACAATTAAAGATTTATGACATATTTCTGATTTTTTTGCTAGTAGTCTAAATGCCATGCCTTTTAAATGGCATGCATAAATTTCTGTGTTCTGCGTTGTTCTTATATGCCGTGCATTCATTGCCTTTGTTCAGCATTGTTCCTCGGAGAGGTGAATCGCTAAATACTTTCCCAGTGATACAGAAATCATGGTAATTTATATGCAATTAATAATAATAAAACCCCTGAACATTGCTCATTAGAAAATGAATGAAGCGCATAATGTATCTTTATCCAGGAGGCATTTGCAGACATCTTGCTAACCGTTTTGGTTTGTGGTGATTTACAGTCCTCCCCGTTTATATATCTTAAATATTCAGGAAGCTGCAGTTGACTACAGTAGCACCTTGCATAACCATGCTTTCCTCTGTTCCTTTAGTTCATCTGAGTTATAGTCAGATTTTAAAGACTGATTTAGTCCTGATCTCAATTAAAAGGCAGGAAAGTAGATTATTTTTTTATAAAGAGATATCTTTATTGCTTTCCTGTTGCAAGCCAAGATTTTGCCTACCCTGTCAGGCATTAAAAGGTAGGAAAGTAGATTTTTTTTTTTTATAAAGAGATATCTTTATTGCTTTCCTGTTGCAAGCCAAGATTTTGCATACCGCGTCAGGCTTGGACAGATGATGGGAGCCAAGTTTATCATGTGTCTCAGGAATCATCTTCATATACAGTCTGTACCACCCTGAAAATAGGAAGTTGATCTTCATCTCCATCTTTCTAATTGTCGCTTGCTATAAAAATACTCTGCGTTGTTATTTCTGGAGAGAGGACTTCAGGTTATCTCCAATAAAAAAAAGATTACCTCAGCCAGACATGGTGCAATCTCTGTAAAATACCTCAGCCAGACATGGTGCAATCTCTGTGTGGTTTTTCTTTTTTTAATATGACATAAACTAGCAGTTGCATCAATTAAAATATTGGAAAAGCTTTTGTTTACTGATATAATAAAGTTCAGCAAATTTTACAGTCTTGTAAAAAGTTGCTGGTTCGCAAGAAATTGATAAAGAGTAGGAATGCTAAGCATGATCCCAGGAGCATGCTTAAACTGGATGATGGCCCTTTTAATATAGCTTTGCTGCTACTGCAGTCACTTAATGGTTACTTGGATTCCAAAGATGATATGGTTTATCTACCTATTATTTAATAAAAAATAATAATTTTGAAATCTCAGAAATGTTTGATATATTCTGAAATTTTGTTAGGAAGGTACTTTTAAAAAGTTCTTCCAAAGATCATGCAGATTTCTCCTTTTGCATAAGTAGACGTTATATACATCAGTATTTTAAGAAGCAAACTGGATTTTTGAATGGGTTTCTTTACTCTGAATGCTGTGCAGCTTTTTGAGTTTTACAAAAATACATGCTTTTCTCAGACACGTCTCCCAGAATTATACCGGGTTTTACTTATTGTATCTGTCAAGATGGTAGAAGACTAGTAATGACAATGTAAGTAATTTTAGGAAATTTTATGTTGTGTAAATGTATTTCATTACGTTTCTTAATGCATTTTTGTTCCAGTGGGTATTGCGATTGGTGCTTCATACGGAAAAGCCATTTCATTCTCTCTGTGTTCGAGATGTGGCACAGTGGATGTTACCATAATAGATGTTGCAACTTTAATTTCAATTACCAGTTGCACAGTTTATCTTCACTAATGTCTTCTGTGCGTATGAAGCATAAGAGTAATATGTTGAACTCTTAGAAAAGAACAATTGCCACTTCGAGCTGCTTAAAACCTGAACTCCAGCTAGAGCTGAGCTGTGTGCTGGAGCTGTTCAAGTCCAGTAAAGAGGATTTTTAGGACTGGAAGCTTTGGGTTAGAGCTTAATAATTTATTTTATATTTACTTGAGCTGAATCTTACAACATTGCTTGTGAAGTGAAATGTGTGGTACCAAGAAAATGTGGGAACAAGAAAGCTTTCAAGTCAGTGCTTTTTAAAAATTTTCAACCTATTTATTGCTATGTGCTGGAAATTGGTAATGATATCAGAAGAGACAGGGTATGCTACCAGGGGAGTAAATGTGTCAGGTTAATCTCCTGAAAAATCTGCCTTGGAAGAAATGAAGCAGGACTGCGAAGCACAGCTGAATCCGTTGTAATGCAACAAGGTTGTTCTGAATGGAAGCAAATGAATGTATAATAGAAAACCAAACCATGCCTGCTATGAATATGACAAAAGCCCTTGGTAACTGAGATCTCCGATTTTATTAGATTTGGAGATTCACCTCCAAATTCTCTCCCTGGTCTGACGTGTATTTATCGACTATCCGTTTTGCTGGGACACGTTGGCACATGGCTCCGCTTGCGCTTCGGAGCCACGGGATCTGGGTATTGCAGTTTGGGGACTTGTTCTGCTGCTCGAGTTCCTGCCCTGGGATTCACACTTTCAATTAACATCTACTCCCGCTACATTTTTGTTGGCTTTTCAGTGGGTGCCATGACCCCAGAAAAATCCCCTTTATTACTAGGGAGAATGTGTGTAACACTTCCCTACAGCCTAGCGTTCGGCATCTCATTTCACCTGATAAATTACTTGGTGCTTTCTTGGCTCTAATTGGAATCGCATTCCCCCAGGGGGTAAAATATGGGCAGAAGCCTAATTTAGATGCTTTGGAGGAGTCCAACGATCCCATGCTTCAGAGGGAGCCTGGGGAGGCAGCGGTGGCCCCTTGCCCCCGCCCAGCTCCGACCCTCATTTACCGTTGGCACTTTCTGGTGTGCGGGATGGCGATAGTACTCTGTAAGGTGGAAGTTTGTTTTGATCTCATTGGCTTTGACAGATTATTTTTGGTAAAGTTGTGGGAGGGAGGGGGCATGGCATGCTGTTATCACACCCAGCCTGAAAACGTTCTCTTCACTTGTTGGTACTGCGGATGTCTGGCAGAATTTGTATTTCTTTCTCCTGGGGAATAAGGAGGGAAGAAGCCCCAATCCCCCTGTTTCCCTCACATCCAGGATTACTG